GGGGGGGGGGGTATCTAAACACCAAGTTTCCTCACTACTCAAGTTCATAATATAAAGACTATTCATGTTTCCTGCATGATTCAGAACTTTGAGAAAAATGTTTCAAATCATTCTTAAAATAAAATAATGAGCTTTGAGTTTGATGGAACTCATTGCAGATTAAGACCCAAACAGCCAAAAAATTGTTGAGCAACATGGGAAAACCTTAGAAGCTAAACAGATTATGCTGCCTACAAGTGTGGTACTATCTGCTCATAAACAGGGGTGAGGGGAGTGGGGGAAGAACACAGGTGACAGAGACTAAGAAAGAGCAGCTAAAATGATAGGACGCCTGGGGTAGGCACACGGAAAAGCAGGTCTCCGGACGGAAAAGGTAGGGAAATACAATCCACGTCTACTAAACAGCATGATGTGGACAAGATTAATACAAACTTTTAAACAGAGGAGATGCAAAACATTTATTTAAATTCATAAAAAGTGCTCTCTTATACAACGCATACTTTAGTCATAAGAAAATTTTGCCTCAAGATGCAATTCAGGTTAAAATATGAATTATTTAAAAAAGATTCCAGGTGCCTATAATGTAAACTAGTTTATAAGAACCTAATTAGTTTTGAGTCCGTCACATTAATAAGAAATCTACGATGAAATGGAAAGTATGCATAAAGCATTTCTGCAGCATACCAAATTACCATGGTTGTTTTGAAATTCAGATTCTGCAACTGATTGTTGCATTGTGAGCCGAACTAGCCACGTTTTTCATGGAATATTATTTTTACTTGAAAGAATTGACGGTTAGTTAGCCTTCTGTATTTGACCTGCATTTTCCCAAAAATGAACAAAGTGAACCTGACACTTCAAGAAAAACTGACAATACCTGTTGCCAATTATGAAATTCAAGCTTTCAAGCAAAAATGTGAATTTTGGAAAACTGTTTCCCAATACTTAAAAGATAAATAAGGAGGCTTTTTTCCCTACTAAATAATACTGGGTTCAGGAAATGGATTCCATTTAGCACACTGATAGAACTTTGTAAGTGCTGCTTTTCATTCTTGCTACTTTTTAATCAATTTTTTAAAGTTATAAATTCTAAGACCCATCAAAACAGTAGTTTAAAGTGTGTGAACCTAAGAAAATTGCCAAAATTTTAATGACGTATCAGTGATCTATGGCAAACATTAAGCATAAATAAGAAAAATTTATTAGTCTTTCACTTCAACTGGATTTTAAGAATCTACATATTAACTCACTAACAAAAAATGGGTGACTATCAAGTACCAGCTGGAACTCTGATTTCCTTTGGTTAGCTTTCTGAGTAACATAACTCTAACATGTTACTCAAAACACCAAGAAAATAAGAAAATGGTTATCTAAGTATATAAAAAAAAATTTTCTCCAAAATCTCTGTTAAGTGTCTAATAAAATAACATCCCCCAAAGATGTCCAATCCTTAAAGAGCTACATGAGAAAATTTTTAAAAGTACTAGAATAAGGAGTTAATTTCTAATACTTCCAAAATGCAGAGGATCTTAAGAAAAGCCTGCTGAATATTTTAGCTAACTACTTTCAAATCCACTAAGCTATCACTGTCATTTCTTCTACAGGCTCCAAGGAGTGTCTTAATTAACCTAAAGAAAAGCTGCGTTATAGGGAAATAATATGTTAACATATTAATACTTCTTCAACTTTAACCTCAAACTTCTGTTTTGGGATAAGTCAAGGTTTCAACAATTTGTGTCTTCTCAAGCATCTTCTGAGCTTATATCTTCACCGAATCCGAAACTTAACCAAGAAAAAAGTCAAGTTGTACACCCGAAACTAATATAATATCGTATTTTAACTACTTTAGTAAAAAAATAAAATAATAAGATATAAAAAATTAATTCAGTCCATTTTTTTACTTTGAGAAGTACTGAAATAAATTAAAATGCCAACTTGTTCAAGAGTTTAAAAAGTATTTCACTTAAAAAAAGGAAAAGTCTCATGGTAATTTTATGAAATTAAACTATCTCAATGAGGTTTGCTTCTCCCTCCAACCCTGCCCCACAATTCATTACAATAATCTATAGCCACACAAGACAATGCCCTGATAATAACTCCATCTCAAAATTCTGCAGGTGTTTTTACTCTGTAAGAGGCCATACATTTTTAGCTAAATCAAAGGCAGAAATGACACTGGCTTAAAAGGCCCTTAGTGTCTAACAAGAAATGAAAAGAGATGCCACACTGGTACTAAGCAATATAACATTAAATACATAACAACCAGGGGAAACTCAGAAAAGTTTTGGAAACACAGTGTGTCTTAACAATCATCTGAAGTCGGTATTTCTCATTCATTAGAATGCCACACTGGCACATCTTTTCAACCAAAGGGGGATGAGGAATTAGAGTATTTAATAAAGAAGCCAATTCAAGCAGATTATACAAAAGTGTATTTTAGCCCAAAGGCCAAAAGATGATAAATAGGTTAAAATGTTAAACTACTAACTTGCATAATTGTTATTTTAATTATTATTTTATCTCAGAAGTCATCCTAACAGGTAGGAGAGGCTACCCATCCTTGAAAAGCAGACTAAATAATGCAGCATTTTTTTTATACAAGACAACCCATGGCCTAAAAATTTCTAAAGTATGGCACAAATGTTCACTGACCCCATTCTTATAAAGTGACCTAGAACACTAGAACACCTACATTCTTGAACTCAATCACATTTCCTGCCCTTGGTTTCTCTATCACATTTTTACAGCCTGATGTTATACACCAGGGTGTTTGAATCAAACTACGATGAAGCCCTGCGCTTAAGCCTGAAGGCTTGATGTTACACGGATGGATAAAGCTGTCATGAACACGCAAGAAAGAGACCGGGGGCATCCAGGCCATCACCCCTTAATTTTGCTATGTCCATTTAATGCAGTCTTTAGGTAATTTAAACGTGCATTAACAAAACTCACATACCGAAGCTATGCCCCGAGGCAGTTTGACACACGTGAAACAGCATTTCAAATAAAAACACTTTCTGCCGGGCCTCTGCTTATACCGCTTCCAAATCCCCTAAGTAACAGCCCGCGTCTCCTCCAGCGGGAACCGCGGGAGGCGAGGGTGTGTCGCGGTGCTTACCGATGCCCGGAGCCACATAGATGAAGTAGAGACAGGACGAGGACAGCGAGAAGAAGAAGAGGAAGGCGAGGAGGGAGCGATTGGAGACCCGCATCACGCGCCGCAGCACAGACATCTTCCTCTTCCCGGCCGGCAGCTCGGGCTGCGCTCTCGGGCCGGACTGGGCACCGTCCAGGCCCTAAACTTCCATGAACGTGCCAAGAACTCGGAGCCCGCGAGGGGCTCTGCGCGGGGCGCCCCGGGGGCGAGGGCCCGGGAGGGAAGGCGGGGAGGGAGGG